GATATTTTTTTTAAGGTCTTTAACTGAAACCACATGCTGTAGGCCATTATCTGCCCTTATATACCTGTAGGTAGTTTCCAGTGACTTAGTGAAATTTGTACATTTATATGTTAAAGTGAAATTTGTCATTATGTATCTAATATAATTACATAGTTACTAAGCTTGTGCTGTAGATAACTTTTATTTTGCCTGGATTTTTGTTTTCTACACCAAATCTACTAGCTACACAAAATCTAATTCTAAGGTAGATTTAGAGACTTTTGAGTAGAAGCCACATCATCCATTAAAAGTGGAATGGAATACATCAGAATACATGGAATGGGAGAGATGTCTAGCTGTATTAGAAGGAAAAGGTAAACAACCTGTATTTTTCTGCGAAGAAATTAAGAATACAAAGCATATAATCTCTTTCTAGGGCCAGATATTTGTGGATCCGAGACAAAGAAAGTCCATGTTATTTTAAATTACAAGAATAAACCCTATCCAATCAAGAAACCGATCAGATGCAAGGTAAATACACATTTCAAAGATACAAAAACTTTAAAATAAACAAGTTACAGGGATACTAGGAAAAAACAAACAAACCCCAAACAACTATTCCAAACATGTAACACCTTTGAGAAGTTCTACTTTTCATCGTATCTTAAAAGTCATGCTAATTTTGGGACTTCAGATATTTCTTAGTTCACAATATGTTTGCAATTTTATGATTGCATTCATAATGCCTGATACTGATACAGGATGGAACAAGGCCGCAAGTGTGCTGTATGTTATTAAGAACTGTATGTCATTGTGTTTCTTAGTTGTAACTTTAATTCCACATTTCCTAGTGAGAGAGCACTTTCTTGTGATATAAATGTAAAATCCTGGCTATATTTTCAGTATTTTTGCTTTTAACCTATGTAATAAGCCTTTTTATGTGCCTTTGCTGTAGCTATTTGGGATATAAATAACTTGTATTTAATATTAACTGAAATCATTACTTTATCTGATACTATTTTCAATGTTGGGACGGTTCCTCTTGCCTATCAGACTGTGTTTTCTTGCAGCCATTCGGTTTTGTTCAAAGACACAGATGGGAGGACTGGAAAATATATGTGAAAAATATCATTAAGTTTATTTTGCCCCCTCTAGGAGACTTTGGGAGTTGTTTTTTTTTTTCCTTACTACTGCTTATGGCAAATCCATTAGAAATTAGTTGTACAATTCTGGTGCAAGGCAGTTCCTAAGAGCTATATTTAAGGTTCTTAAAAATTTTTACTTGCTTTCTTTAAACCCAAGGTTGATGGATATACACATCTATATACTTTGATTATAAGGCCAGATCAGACTTACGAAGTAAAAATTGATAATGAAATGATTGCATCTGGCAACTTAGAAGATGATTTAGACTTTTTGCCACCAAGGAAAATTAATGATCCAACAGTGAGGAAACCCCCTGACTGACATGATCGAATCCAAATTGATGATCCAAATGACATCAAACCTGAGGTAATTTGCTCTCCTTATTCTGCATTACTGGATTATTTCATTTCTACTGAATGCACATTTGATAAGAGTTGAACGATGCACTCGTTTTGCTTTTATAATCTTCCTGTGTCTTTTTAAAGGATTGGGATGAACCTGAATATGTCATGGACACTAGTGCCGAGAAACCTGAAGATTGGGATGATGCTATGAATGGAGAATGGCATTATCCTATGGCCAAGAATCCTTTATACAGAGTATAAATGATTTCATAATCCTAGCTATGGATAACACTTCAAGCAACTTTTTTTTTTGCCTGACTGTATTCAGGACATGTGGTTTATCCTAGGGGGAATGGAAACCAAGGCAGATTGATAACCAAATTATAGGGGAGTTTGGCCTCATCCACAGATTGACAATCCAAATTACTCGCCAGACTTTAGTGTCTACAGCTATGAAAATGTTAGCATCATTGGACTAGATATCTGGCAGGTGAGATGCCTTTACTGGAAAAGAAGGCACTTTTCTCTCAGTATATAGCAATCTGTTTACCCTTTGCATATAAACGTTACCTATTGTTTTGGGACCTATGTCTTTAACTTGCTTTTCTGTAAATATGTGTACAAAATTGAAAAATCTCTAAGACGCCCTGTTGTAGTTATTGTTTGGATGATAATCGTCTACAGGTAAGTGAGGGGCCTAAACTAATTTTTGTAAGTACTGTAAATTACGACTTACTCCACCTGGCTTGAGGTACATAACTGAGGCTTCAAGCAGCTCATTAATCTTTGGGTAAGACAGGAGTAACTGAAGAGAAAACTGCCCTCTGGGGTGCCTCTGAGATCTTCCTCTATCTCAGGTTTCTTGACTAGCCAGTGATGAGACTTAAAACTTCTTAGAAGAGCAGTGAAATGCCTAATGTTAAAACAAGTTCTTTAGATTCTTGAAAACAGCGGTCCAAAAAGAGAGTGTTGTTAATCAAATTCTGTAAAAATCTATGGGGTTCTTGACATGATTACTCTATACTGAATATATGATACAAAGATATTGTTAAAAAAAGAGATGAAAACTCTTAAGAAAACAAAGAGGCATCCTGGGTTTTTTTCCCTGTTCCTTCAAAGGTGAGAGCTGGCACAATTTTTGACAACTTCTTGATAACAGATGATGAGGTTTATGCAGAAGACTTTGGAGATAAAACATGGGGAGAAACAAAGGTAACATGAAATTCTTGTGTCTGTTTTGGTTCTTTATTACCACATTTTAAAAATCCCCTCTCTAATCTGGTCAAGAACCTATTGGTGCATAAAAAGTGAAATCTTAATATTAGGGTCCTGAAAAGGAAATGAACATAAAGCAGACTGAGGAAGAGCAGGAGAGAGAAAGAGTTACAGAAGAAAAATACTTTAAGCAGCGGTTCAAGAAAAAGCTAGAGAGAAAAAAAGAATCTAGAAAGGATAGAGCAGTGAGGAACACTATTGAGAAGGAAGAGCTTTAATTGTTATTTGAAAGAAGTTCACTTTTTTTTTTCACTTAAATCACTTGGGGATTTTTTTTCATTTAAGGATTTCGATAGTTTGTTAACAGCTTGTTGAAATCTGCACCAATGTAGTTGTATTAAAACAGATTTTTTTTAAAAAAATCAACATTAAATTTTGTGAGCAGTTTCAGTTATTTTTAACAAAAATACCGTAACATAAATTCTCTATAGAAAAGGTTAATTTTTTTATTAAATGTATCTTAACATTGCTAAAATGTATTAAAAACACCTGTAATAAAGGTTTTGGAACTGTTTTACACTTTCATAGCATGAATTTTACATTTAATATTAAACTAATTTTTGTTGAGGAAATATCATAATAAGCTTTTTGTGATATTAAAGGGTTCAGCAAGTCCAATGTGTGAAGCATGTTTCACAACATACCTCAAACCAGGGAGGAGATAAGCTTTGCTAAGCTTCTGTAGTAATTGTGCACCTGTCAGAGTTTCACGGATTACTGCAGCTGTATAGCTGCCGCGAACGCACCGTGGCGGCTCTTGGCTGTCCTGCCATTGCTTATCTGCTGATGGAACGTTCTAGCGCTCTGTCTCAGTGTGGGACCTGAGCCACAGTAGCCTGTCCATCCACCAATCTCTCCTTAGAAGTTTGAATGTATTCAGACAGTTTTTTTCCCCTTCAAAAATCTGAAGTGAATGGAGCTGTTTTAAAATAATTTTTTTTTTTTTTTCCTAATAGGGTGGGTGGGGAGGGAATTTGAAACAATGAATGATGTACCTGTTTTTCTGTCTGACCTGTCTCGTAACTCACTCTTGTAACTTGTTCAGTCATTTCCTTCATCCCTTCTCAGGTTCTTCTGCATTTCCTTCCCCCTCTCCCTCCCAAGAACTAATGCTGTAAGTTTAGCAAAAACTGAAGCCAGACTTCCAGAGCCGATGGGTTTGCATTTGCCTCCGGGCTACCCTAACACTGGCTGAGAAGCGTTCTGTGTGGTAAGGAGATAGGGAGGGTCTGAGGAAGCCCCGACTGCCGCCACACCAGTTTCTAGCCTGCGGAGCGGCTGAGGTCAAATTCTTTCACTTCTGCTTGTCTGAGTGCTGTCCCCCTGTAAAACAATTCCAGTGACGCTGTGGGCTGAAGAACTTTGAAGGCTAGTGAAACCATAACAACAGTCGCTCTTTACCTTTTTTTCCTAAACAAATTCCTGTTGATTTAGCTTTTACATAGCCACAAGGATCCAGCCTTGCTTGGGCTGCTGTTCAGTATTTATACATTGCATTCAGGGGTTTGTTAACTTTCTTGTATTTGATGCTGAAAATCTGACGATAGACCAGAGGAAGCTTAATTTGGCAAAGTCTGTTTTGACAAGGTTTAGGGTAATGAAGTAAAATAACGAGGTTTGTCCAGGAGAGAGTTGGATGCGGGTCATCCAGCTAAAAGGTCAATCACTGCCTTGGCTCAGTTACCTGGAAGAATATTCCACAGGGCAGCTGCAGTCTTCCCTAGACCTACTTTGTCCACAACGTAGGTAGGTCACCGCCAGCCTCACTTGAGGCAAGCTGGAGGAGAGCCACGTCTGGGAGCAGAGGGACTGCGGGAAGCCGGGGCTGAGCTGCGGCAGGACGGGGACAGCGGGAGCAGCCGCAGCTTGGCGGGGTGGGGAACAGCTGCCTGGCACAGATAAGCCGCGGCCGCTTTGATCCTGGGTCAAACTCGCCCCCTCAGCTGCCCGCCGGTTCCC